GTTTGTTCCTCTACACTAAATGAGCAGTCATACATGACCTACTCTTTCAATTTAGGTCTTTCCTCAGCTAGGAGGTGCCGTGGATAGAATGCCAGGCCTGGAGTCAGGAAGACCTGAGTTCAACTCCCGCCTCAAACACTTACTAGCTGTGTGACCCTGATGTCACTTAACTCTGTTTGCCTGAGTTTCCTCATCTGTAAAATGAGCTGGAGAAGGAAATGGCAAACTACTCCAGTATCTTTGCCACAAAAACCCTAAATGAGATCACTAAGAGTTATACACAACTCAATAACAACAACAACAATAATTCAATTGAGATCTTGCATTTTTGGTGAAATTGCTGGCATTAGGTCAGGGCCCATACCTAATACTTTATATTCACTACAGTGGGATTATCACTAGCAGATGCTCAATAAATACTTAAGAGTCATAGAAATTGAGAACTGGAAATAACAGTGAGGATCAGCTAGTCAAGTCTTCTCATTGCATAGGTAAAGAAAAAGGCCTAGAAAATGTAACTTGCCCAAAGCAACACTGGTCAGTTACTAACAGAGCCTGAATAAGAACCCAGGTCTGTCTCCAAGTTCAGTTTTTATTCCTTTATTCCATGCTTGACTTCCTTGCCAAACTGAACTGAAATATTTTAAAGGCAGCTGTTAACTATAAAGCTGCAGGTTTGTATCTGTCAGATAGTGATGATGATTTTATAAAGTAACTGCTTCGCTACAAAGCAGGTGAACCTGGAGAACATGGTGTTATGGAAAGAATCCTGAATTTGTAGAATTCAAATCCTAACTCTTATACTACCTTGGGCAAGTCTGTGAGTCAGTCAACAAACATTTATTAAGCAAATACTATACATCATTGATTAAACATTTACTATGTGTCAGTAGCACACTTATTATGTATGCTAAGTGGTGGGAATACAAAGAATGGCAAAAACATGGTTCCTGTACTCAGTGAGCTCACAGTCTAATGGAGCAAAGAGCATACCAAAAAAAAAAGTACATATAAGATAAATAGTGTAAGTGAAAGGTAATCTCAAAGGAATGGCTCTAGCAGTGGGGGGAACCAGAAAGGCCTCCTAAAGAAGGTAGTATCTGAAAAAGAAAAAAAGAAGGTAGTATCTGAGCTGAGAAACACAGTACACATACATGTTTAATTGAAAGGGAATGTGTGGGGATGAATTGTTTACATATTAATATGGCAATAATAAACAAATGTGTTCTTAGAACCCTGCTATCTTTTAGGGTCCTAAAGGTTAAAATGATAATGGTTCTATGCATGGTTTTGCTATATTTTAATGGTATTAGAAGACAAACACATGGTATCAGGTCACAGCTCTGAAAGGAGAGAAAGGTAAAGACTTTGAGCAGTCACTGTGGGCAGAAGACCAGAGACCTCATCTCTCTCCCTTGGCAGCCTTGTAGGAACTAGAAGGGAAGGGAAGGTGGGACATCCAGTGCTGTTTTGTCTGATAAGGCCTAAGTGGTCAGGCCTCCTGAGGCTATTGGCTTTAGTAGGAAGGTACCCATTATATACATGCATCAACTTTGCCTCTGCAATATCATACCTACCTCTGCATTACCATACCAAAATGGTACATTTGTCCTGCAGAACAGTCTTATCATTTCCACTTCCTGCCTTGTACTGGAAGTCAGTCATGTAGCTGATTCTTCTAGAATTCCAAGTTTCTGCAGTAGGGACCCTGATCTCCCTCAGGGCCACAGGGTACCTAACCAGTACACATGCACAGGACTTCCAATTCTGCCTCTGGTCTCCAGGGGCCAATATATCCAGATTCCTTTCTGACTGTGGAATAAGTAGTCAGTAACTCCCCACAAGTCAGTGACATTCCAGGATGTGATTGTAAACTTTACCCTGGAAGAGTGGAAACACCCAGATCCTTCCCTGAGTGAGCTGTATAGGAAGGTAATGCAGGAAAACTCCAGAAACTTGGTCTGCCTGGGACTTATCATTTCCAAGAGATATGATCCACCAGCTAGGGCAAAGGGAAGCACCTTAGATGCTAGTGGTGGGGGATGTCCCTGAAATCTGCTGTGCAAATTGGGAGACCACACCTAAAAACCAGGAATCAGTTCCCAAGCTGTGCCTTTCTGTGGTAAAATTATCCCTAGAGAGAGTCCTGGGAAGCTTTCTCATGGTTAGTATCTATATCTCCAAGTTATGAGAAGCCTGGCAATGTTCTGCCAGGTTGGAGAGAGAACAGAGCAATAAGGGAAAACATTCTCAACTAGTAAAAATCATCCATCTTAATCAAGTGAGAGGGTATGACCATAGTAAATGTGCCAGAATTGCTAATCTGAGACCAGTACATTTTCCACAATAGAAAGCATCATTAGGAAATACTCTCCCTAAAGGTGATACATATGGAAAGAGCTTCAGACTATCCTCAGAAACTATTAGAATCTGCTCAAAAATATCCCCTAAGTATAATGAGGGTAGAAGTCCTTCAGTTATAATTCCAACCTCACTGAAACTCAGAGACTGTATACTGAAAAGAAGACTTACAAAATGTTATAATTATGGGAAGGTCTTCCAGAGGAGCTCACACCTTGCTCAATAGCAGATAATTCATACTAGAGAGAAACTCTATAAATGTGGAAACACTTCCAGTAGGAGCACCCAACTTAGGTACATACACCAGAGAATTCATAGTAGAGGGAAATCATATGAATGTAATAAATATGGGAAAGCTTTCTTCTGAACATAAACTTTATTGTACATAGAGAATTCATGGGGGAGAGAATGTGGAATAAATGAATGTGGGAAGGATTTCAACAGCAGCACCCAACTTTTTGTGCATCTGAGAATTCATATGGGAGAGAAACCATATGAATGTAACGAATATTGGAAGGTCTTTTGCTAAAACACATTTCTTACTGAACATGAGAGGATTCATAGTGGTGAGAAGAATTATAAATGATATAAAAGTGTAAAGGTCTTCCAACAAATCTCACAGCTTACTTAACATCACAGAATTCACACTAGAGAGAAACCTTATAATGTAATGAGAGTGGGAAGACCTTTCTTCTGAGTACAATCTTTGATATCCATCAGAAAATTCATAGTGGAGAGTTACTTTATGAATATAATAGATAGGAAGCAGCCTTCACCTGAAGCTGTGACTTTTTTCAACATCAGATTAAGAGATAATGTGATTAACTATGTGAATATAATGAACACACAACTTTAATCAGAACACACAACTGAGCTGTGTATCAGAAAATTCCATGTATAACATTTATAAAGGAGAGTAGACTTTTTCCCAGAGCAAATGCCTTCTCAACATCAGTTCATACTGAAGAAAGTCTTCAACTACTGCATAGAACTTACTCAACATCTTAAGAATTATGTCTTGTACAGCAGACGGGGAAACTTTATGAATGTAATGAATATCAGAAGGATTTTAGCCAGAGCTGCAACTAAGGGTCTCTATGATAGGACCTTTAATTTCACCTGTCATAGATTCTAAGTATCATAAATCATTTTGCCTTGCTTATTATCATAGAAATGCAGACTAATGAAGGTGAGGGATAGTCCTTAGACAGCCAGTGGTGCCCAGGAAATGTTTGACGATCTGGAAGAGGCACCAAAACACATTGAGTGGACCACCTATAAAGGATTTATAGAAACACCTGGACAAAAGTCACAGAGTATGAAAAGGCATGAATTGTCTTTAGTCTGTATCACTGGTCAGAGTACCCCTATCAGTGAGATCACAAATCCATTGAAGTACAGAAACAATGTGAAACATTTCAGAATTCACTGTTTCGAGGGTGACTTTTAGTAAGATATGATTGGTAAAAAGAATATAATTTTTTTTCAAAACTCTATGATAAATGAACAAAAATGCATTTATTAAGCACTTACTACATACCAGGGACTGTGCTAAGTTTTAGAGATACAGATGCAAAAAGAAAGACAGTCCCTGCCCTCTAGGAACCTATATTGTAATAGAAGAAAGAAACACGTACAAGAAAGAGGTGGCTGGGGGGAGAGATGGAGCAGTGTGTCTGGCATAGTGTCAACATGACTGGGGAACAGCATTATGGGGACTGAGGGTAGAAATTGTTGTTTCATCAATATGAGGAACAGCAGTGTGACAGAGTATACTGCCTCTTCACACATACTAGGTTTGTGATTGTGAACAAGTCACTAAATCTCTCAGTGCCCCAGGCAACTCTTTAAAGCTGCTAGTTGCTTATTTGTATTGTCAGTAAGCATTTATTAAGCATCTACTGTGAGCCAGGAACTATGCCAAGCACTGGGGATACAAAGAAAGGCAAAAGACAGTCCCTACCCTCAAGTAGCTCACTAATAAAGGAAACAAGCAAATAAATATGTGCAAATGAGGTATATACAGGATAAATAGGAAATAATTATGAGGGATTAGGAAGGTTTTTCTGTACAGGGTGGGATTTTAGCTGGGACTTGAAGAAAGCCAGAAGGCAGAGATGAAGAGGGAGAGCATTCCAGTCATGGAATACAGCCAGAGAATATGCCCAGAGCCAAGAGAAAAAGTATCTTGTTTGTGGAAGAGTAGGAAGACCAGTCTCACTGGATCGAAGGGGTGGGGGTGGAGGTAATAAGGTGTAAGAAGACTGGAAAGGTGGGGGTTGGGGGAGGAGGACTAGATGGTGAAAGTCAAATGAAAGATTTTGTGTTTAATCCTGGTAACAGAAGGAAACAACTACAGTTTGTTGAGTATAACAGAGGTGGCATGGTGGGACCTATGCTTTACTGTCAGTGAAAAGAACTGTCGTACCAAGAGTGTTCCATCCATTATGCCATGCTGCCTCTCAAGTCACATAACATTGCTTGATCTTGGGCTCCTCATCTTTAGACTGAGGAGCTTAACAATATTAATTTTCATCTTGTCATCTAAATTTTTCTTCTGAACATTTCTTGGAGAATGAAATACATGCTCTCCCCTGAGGATGATTGCGGTGATAATTTCACTTTTGTTTCCTATACAGATCTGCCAAACAGCTTGCCACACTGTTTGTGAATCTCTGTGTCACTGCTGAGACGCATGAAGTCTCTGCCCTTTGGTTCCTGTGGTATGTGAAGCAGTGTGGGGGCACAACCAGAATTATTTCAACAACCAATGGAGGACAGGTACTCACAATTATCAACAGATGTTTCTAGTTAGAAAGTTACTTCAGCATGAAAGAACAACAGAGCATGCACAGAGAGAGAGAGAGAGAACAGAGTGTTATAGTAATTTTAGTTTTCTTATTATATTTTAGAAGGGCACTATTTGTTGATAAGCATTAAAAATAACAGAAACTTGGAGTGTAATCTTAAGACAAAAATCTAAATGTATTCATTTTTGTAATTACACATTTGGAATCAATGTGACCAAAGATTTTTAGAAAAACCTAAGAGAATGTTTATGAAGCTCTAGAACAAAATGACAGTAAGAACAAAAAAAATATGGAGAAATTGAGTATATTCTCAGTAAGGTTTTTTTAAAAGTAAAGAAATTTGTGCAATTTTAAAATATAAAGTCCACATGAACACATTTTTCTGGCTTTCAGATAATGTCAGATATTGTTTGTTTTGTTTTGTTTTGTTTTTTTAAAAAACTTTATCGCTTTCTTCTTCAGCCTCTAGAATGGTTGGAACAGTTTTTTTTTAAATAGACTAGCCCAAATTAGAGCCCTGTCTAGGGCCTCATAGGTGCCAAGAATTTGTTGTTATTGTTGTTGTTATAAAATGGTTCAGTTGCATACAACTCTTTGTGATCCAATGGACTGTAGCATCCCAGGTCCTTCTATTCACCATCTCCTGAAGACTGTGCAAATTCATTGCCTCCATGACACTACCTGTTTATTTCATCTTCTCCCATCCCCTTTTCCTTCAGTTTTCCCAACATCAGAGTCTTTTCCAATGAGTCCTGTCTTCTCATTATGGGCTAATTTAAGCTTCAGCTTCCATGTTTGGCCTTCCAGTGAATAGTCTGAATTAATTTCTTTAAGTATTGACTGACTTCATCTCCTTGCTGTCCAAAGAACTCTCAAAAGTCTTCCTCAGCACCACAATTTGAAAGCATCAGTTCTTCAGTGCTCAAGCTTTCCTTATAGCCTGTTGGGAGAATTTTCCCATGGGAGTTCTAGCTTCTCTTGGCAGAAGCTGAGGGTCACAACCTGTTGCGTGGCAAAAACAAGAAAGTCTCACAAGACCTCTCCTTTGCTGACATGCAGCTCCCACGGTTGGCTCGGCTCTCCTCTCATTGGGAGAAAAGTTCTACTCATACCCCTGATACAAGGGCTACAGGTGTCCAGCAGACTTGGTGATTGGCTATCACATGGAGATCATGCTTTGATCAGGTGTTACTAAGGATATAAAATAAAGCTACTAGCACTTAATAAACGGAGCTTCTGCGATCTTGCTGTCTCCCGCCTCATCAATGTGCCTCCAGGTTAAGAGTATTGAGCTGGTCTCATGCTCACCACTGCAGCGGCCGTGTCAGCTGGCGCCCAATGTGGGGCAGGAGGAAAAGGCTCCACGAGCAGAAAATTACTTTTCCAAGAGTTTAGCGCCAGTAAGCTCAGAGCTTCAATCTCAGAAAAAGAGATCTCCGAGGCGTATCCCGTGGTAAGAAAACGACAGAGAAGGATCTCCCCTTGGCTCATGGAACACGGTTATTTTGAGCCAGGGAGATGGAAAGTATTTGGGGAACAGATGACATCTTTTGACAATACTTGCCTGGGAGAAGTAAGAGATGAATTCGACCTCCAGGTGAAAAACAACGAGACTGTGCAAATGGCGGGGTGTGACTTTGCAGGACTGTCCGTGCAGCAGCCGCTTTGTTGGTCCCGCGGTGACAGCCAGGGGGGCTGCATGCAAGTTCGGAACATTGCCCTTGCTGTGAACATTCCCGACATGGGGCCATACCAGCTTCACCTACTCAGCGGACAGGGGACGCCCTGCTCCAACGCCACTTCCCTGCGTGTGGGGGGTCTGGACAAATGTAAGGTGAACAATGACTCTGGTTTTGGCTGGCCTCATGCGGAACCTTGTGTGGTTGGACATCGCCTCTGTATGAACTTAGGTGGGACTATTGTTCAATCATGGCATGACACTCACGGCATGACATGTGATTCCCTGCCCTTACCTGTATGGGTTCCTGAAATAGGAAAATCTTGGAGGGATCTTTGGAAGGCTTTTGCAGCCATGGGTAACATAACAATCATCCAACAACTTGGGTCACAATTTGGAGCTTGGAGGGGTGTGCTTGGACCACACTCGTGGTGCCACGGGACCAACATTGGGTATACTTTCGGCTCTCAGGCATGTCTAGGGGAGTGCTATGCCTTTATGTGGGGAAATAAGGTGAATATCACCAGAGAGGGTGGTGGCGATTATTACAATGTTACTTGCCACAACTGTAGAGTATCTGAATGCCTAGGACCTTTGATAGTCAATCAAACGGTGTTTGTCATCATGCGTCCTCATGTAGTCATGCTTCCTGTAGAAAGCAAGGATTGGTACCACACTAAATCTGACCATGTATTCGATGCCATAATTAAGAAAAAAGAGAGTCACAATCCCCTCACTTTAATTTGAGAAAAACGATGCATCAGCTGTGTTGTCATGGGCATCACTCTATTGGTTTCTTTGATTGCCTCCTCTGCCTCACTAGCAAAAAGGCTTCTAAAGAGGACCTGGATCCTGATAAAACAGCAGACAATATATTACATTGGTTTGATAATGCCTCCAATTGGTGGGGGTCATTTGAGTATTGGATTATGGTAATTGTTGTAGTGTGCTTACTTTTATGCTGATATAGTCGGATGTCTTTTGAAAGTAATGATCTCCATGTTTAAAAATGTTATGTCACAAGTACACATATTAATGGACACATATCCACAACAACGCCTTTTCTAAAAAACAAAAAGGGGGAATTGTTGGGAGAATTTTCCCATGGGAGTTCTAGCTTCTCTTGGCAGAAGCTGAGGGTCACAACCTGTTGCGTGGCAAAAACAAGAAAGTCTCACAAGACCTCTCCTTTGCTGACACGCAGCTCCCACGGTTGGCTTGGCTCTCCTCTCATTGGGAGAAAAATCCTACTCATACCCCTGATACGAGGGCTGCAGGTGTCCAGCAGACTTGGTGATTGGCTATCACGTGGACATCATGCTTTGATCAGGTGTTACTAAGGATATAAAAGAAAGCTACTAGCACTTAATAAACGGAGCTTCTGCGATCTTGCTGTCTCCCGCCTCATCAATACGCCTCCGGGTTAAGGGTATTGAGCTGGTCTCATGCTCACCACTGCAGCAGCCGCGTCAATAGCCCAAACCTCACGGCCATACATTGCTTCTGGAAAAACCATAGCTTTGACTATATGGGCCTTCGTCAGCAAGGTGATGTCTGCTTTATAGTATGCTGTTCAGATTTGTCATAGTTTTCCTTCCAAGAGCAAGCATCTTTTAATTTCATGGAGGCAGTTGCATCTGCAGTGATCTTTGAACCCAAGAATATAAAATCTGACATCGATTCCATTTCTTCTCCCTCTATTTGCCGGGAAATGACAGGACCAGTAACCAAGATCTTTTTTTTTTTTTTGTCAAGAATGCAAGTGCTCATTTTTTTTATTTAATACTATCATTTTACTGGTGTTGCTGTATAGAGCCAAGATATGGAACGCCAACACCTATGAAGAACTCAAAATAAGTATATCAGAAGTCAATAGAGAGACAGAAGAAAATGTCTGTAGCTCATGCAGGCATCACCACCACCGCTAATCAGCTTATAAGAGCTCCAGTTCTTCAACAATATGATGATGGGAGGAGGAAGTGCCAGGGAAAGACACTGAAGGTGGATCTGATCAGTCCACTTTCACTAATTGGGTATACAGTCTTTAGAGTAACAAATTTTATTTAACAGAACTACAATAAAGTGTAATGAGGAAACGAGGAAACCTTCCAGTACTTTCCTGAAGGATTGAAGGCAATTCTTTTTCTTCTGAGTAAATGAAAATTTCTTTGGAAATTCCTCTTGAGCATTTGTGATCTCCCTCTCATTTTATGTTCATTCCCTTTCGTCTACATCTCTCTCTGTTCCTTTGCCTGCATTAATTGAAGTTCAATGTCCAGAACAAATAATAATAATAATAATTTATTTTTCCACCCTGTCTTACATTTGACACACAGTCAGTCAGCCAAAAAACATTTAAACATACCTCTGGAGGGTAGAAGAGAAGAACAAAATGAAGGTGGAAAGGATGGTAATAAAAATAGTCATTGAGAGGAGGAAGTTAAAGATTCTATTTCCTTTTCTCTCTATCCCACCTCTTATGGCATGTCTTTCTTTTACAGGAAAGGAAGTTTGTTGGAGGTTCTGGTCAAGTTAGTGAGAGGATAATGGAACTTCTTGGAGACAGTGTAAAGCTGGAAAGGCCTGTAATTCATATTGATCAGTCTGGTGATAAAGTTATTGTGGAGACACTGAACCATGAGATATATGAGGTAATTTAAGCCCTGATAGTATTTTAATTAATAGTATATACATACATACATACATACATATATATATATATATATATATATATATATATATATACACACACACACATAAATGATTCAGAGTTGTACAAATGATGTCTAGGAGCCAGAATGTATTCACTTAGAACAAGTTATGCTCAAATGGTTGAATCAATTCACAATTTCACCAACAATGAATTAGCATCCCAGTTTTTCCATATCCCCTCCAATATTTCTCTCTTTCCCCTTCAATAATTTTTGCCAATCTAATAGGTATAAAATGATATCTCAAGGTTGTTTTAATTTGTATTTCTCTAATCAATAATGATTTAGAGCACTTTTTCATATGACTATAAATTGTTTTGATTTTTTCATTGGAAAACTTCCTGTTCATACCCTTTGACCATTTATTGATTTGGGGAATGACTTGTATTCTTATAGATTTGACAAAGTTCTTTATACATTTTAGATATGAGACTTTTTTCTGATAAACTGTATTTAAATTTTTCCCCCAATTTTCTGCTTTCCTTCTGATCTTGGCTACATTTGTTTTATTTGTGCAAAATCTTTTTAAATTTAATGTAATTGAAATTATCCAGAGAGAGAGAGAGCACTCTGGAATTATGCCCAAAGAGTTATTAAACTGCCTATATCCTTTGAACTAGCAATACCACTACTGGGTCTATTTCCAAAGATAATTAGGGAAAAAGGAAAAGTGCCTATATGTTCTAAAATGTTTATAGCAGCTCTCTTTGTGGTGGCAAAGAATTGGAAATTGCGGGGATGCCCATCAATTGGGGAATGGCTGAACAAGCTGTGGTATATGATTGTAATGGAATACTAACATAAGAAATGATGAGCTCAATGATTTTAGAAAAACATGGAAAGACTTGCATGACATAATGAAGAGTGAAATGAATGGAATCAAGAGGACATCGTATACAGTAACAGCAATATTGTTTAAGGAACGACTTTGAGTGAATAAATCATTTTGACAGTTATAAATACCCAAATAAACTATAAAGGACAAATAAAAAATATGTTATCTGCATCCAGAGAAAGAACTGATAAACTGAAGTTTGTATAGAGTAATTTTACATATATATGTACATTTATATATATGTATATATGTATGTATATGCATATATTCTATTTGTGTCTAATGATAGCCACCTCTAGGGTTGGGGGTGTGGAAGGGAAGAAAAAAGTTTACATGATAACTTTATATGGTTAAAAGAAATAACAAGTTGATAGATTTATAGTTTTATGTGCAATCACCTTTTCATTATACTATGTTATAGAAATGCTTGTTTTATTCCACAAATTTAAAAAAATAAAATTTAAAAAAAGTTATGCTAAATGAATACAATTCTTTTTAAAATTGTTATTAGACCCAGAAGATTAAGAGAGGTGTTATAAACATAGTGTGTCCACATTTCCCAAAGCATTTAACAAACATTTTCTAAGATACACAAATATGTTTAGTTAAGGTTGATTTTTGGCTGGTTGAAGCACTCAAGAACATTGATTAATGAATTTAATTTAAGCTAAAGGAAGATTTCTAGACACATGCCAAAGGATTTTCTTTTGGTCTTGTATTACTAAACATTTTTATCAATATCTTAGGTAAAGATATAGAAAGCAAATTTTAAAGATGCCCTAAAGCAAGAAGAAATAGCTAATACATCAAACAGCAAAATTTGAATTTTTGAAAGGTGTTAATCCATAGTAATAATGGGTTGAAATTAATACGATAAAATGTAGAATTCCTTATTTAGACTAAAAAAACCAACTAAACACATTTTAGATAAAGGAAAACTATAATAACAGTAGTTCCTAAGGTGGGGAAGGCAAAAAGGCTGGAAGCTAGTGGCCCATGAGATCAAAATGAGTCAACATTCTAACTGTGAAATAACAGTGTAATCATAGGCTGCCATAATGTAATCAATCATACAATGGAAATGTAGTTTCTGTAATGCAACAAGTAAAATCCATTGGTCTTTATACTCTGAACTGTTTGGAACACGTCAGGTATTCTTCTTAAGTATGACAAACTGGACACGTACAGAGGAAAGTAACCGGAATAATGAAGGAGCTAGAAACCGTATTTTATGAGTAACAGTTGGAGGAAGTAAATGAAGAAGAGACAAGAGAGGAAACCATAATTGTCTTCTAATACTTGATGAATTATGTGGAATAGAAATTAGATTTATTCCAGGTGGTTACAGAGGTGGGGGGGGGGGGTTAGGAGGGAGAGAAGGAGGAGGATAAAAAGTAGGTCCAATGGTTGGAAATTTCAGATTTTTAAGATTGAACAATTAAATTTAAAATTTAAGATGTTTCAGCTCAATGTAATGAATAACTTTTTAATTGCTAGAACTATCAAAAAAATGAAATGAGAGACCTTGTGAATTTCTTATGAAGTGAAATATTCAGGAAATGGTGAAATTCTTGTCACCAGACTCCAGCAAGAAAAGACCCAGTGATCATCAGTCAAAGATGGGGTAAAAGAAGATTCTTCTCTTTTTAGAATTTAAGCTCCTTGGAAATAGAGATCATTTAATTCATTGTTTTTTGTATCCCTAGTGCCTTGCACAGTGCCTAGAACATAGTAAGTACTTAATAAATATTTGTCAATTGATTGATTTGGAGATTGGACCAAACAACCTTTGAGATCCCTTCTAATAAGATTTTATGTCAGAGTTCTGCCAATACCCAGCACTTAAATATGGACAAGATTTTACCAGACTTCAAATGTAGTACCTTTTCTAATGAAGAATGAAAAATGCTCTCTTATCTTTTAGAAGTGGTATTTTCTCCTTTTTGGTTAACATTCAAAGACCTATAATAATGTGAGCTCTCTGAATAGGTAATGATTGTTCTGGTGTGATGGATAGAGTGCTAGACTTGGAGTCAATCCCAAGTTCACATCCTACCTCAGACACTTAAACTGTGTGACTCTGGACAAGTCAATAAACGTCTTCAGGTTTCAGTTTCTTCATCTGTAAGATAAGAAGGTTGGACTCAATTGATTCTAAGGTTTCTTCCAATTCCAAATCTATGATCCTATGAAAATAAAGTACATTTCATTATTATTGTTATTATTATTGTTGTCGTCATTATTATTATTATTATTATCATTATATTTTGCCATTTGTTTCCTTACAGGCCAAATATGTCATTAGTGCTATTCCTCCAGCACTGGGTATGAAGATTCATTTTAACCCACCCTTACCAATGATGAGAAACCAGTTGATTAGTCGTGTTCCTTTGGGTTCAGTCATCAAATGTATAGTATATTACCATGAACCTTTTTGGAGGAAAAAGGGTAGGTATTTTATTTCTATGAAGTAATATTCCAGAGGTCTGCTAAGAAAAATGCTTAGAGGGTTCTTTATCTCTCCTTACTCCCCACCAATGCACATTATTTTGGAATATTGTCACTCTCTTCCTTTAAAATGTTCTAATGTCATGAAACACAAGTTTTAAGTCCTAACCTTAGCATTCAAAGCTCTCCACAACCAACCTTCCCAGCCTCATCTAATGTAATTATTCATTTGCTCACTACTCCTGCCAAGATGGATTATTTGGCATTTTTTGAATCCTTTCTTACCTCCATGCCTTTAGGGAATGTTCTATTCTCCAAGTCTGCAGTTCCTCCTTCCCAACATGTCTGGAACTGGACATCCAGTTCACCTTTTAAGTCTCAAATCTCAAAATCATTTCCACAAATCCTTCCCTGATTCCATCAGCCAGAAAAGATCATTCCTTCTCATAGCGCTTTCCTTGTACTTCTCTTAGGCAATTGTATACTATGCATTCAATTATATTGTTGTGTGGACCTATCTAGTCTTCCCACTCATCCCCCCCAGGACAGCAACCATGTATTGTTCGTCTTTCTATCTATATGAGTCAGTGAGCTGGTGTAGTGGATAGACTTGGAATCTGGCAGACCTTACTAGCTTTCTGAAGCCACTTAATGACTCAACCACAGTTTCTTCATCTGTAAAATGGTGATGATAATAGTGCCAATCTCACAGTTTGTTGTGGAGATCAAGTGAGATTATTATGTAAAACACTTTGAAAACTTTAAAACTCTCCGTCTCCGTCTCTCTCTGTCTCTGTTTCTTTGTCTCTGTGTCTGGTGTCTATCTGTCTCTGTCTGTTTCTCTGTCTCTCTTTGTCTCTCTCTCTTTCCATATATGTGTGTGTGTGTCACACTCTATACACACACACACACACACACATGTTGGCTATTGTTATCTTCTTCAGGACCTAACGCAATGTCTTCCACAGAATTAGCAGTCAATAAATGTTTGTTGAATGGAGTTGAAAGTCAATTTAATAAATTAGAACTTTGAGTTAAGAGTCACGATTCCATTTAAGAAAATAAAATGAATCATTCTTTGAAACTAACTGTTACTCAGTACATAACTAACATGATATATATGACAGTTTTTTAAAGCAGTCAGTCTAGATACATTGTGGCGTAGGAAGAGCAACATTGAATTTGGAGTTAGGGATCTGAGTTTGATTCTTAGCTCTATTATTTAATATACCTGTGTGATCTCAGCAAGTCAATTAAATAATTAAGTCAATTCAGAGACTGAACTTCAGTTTTCTCACTTGAAAATTGGGAAGGGCATGGTCTAAACAATTTCAGATATCTCTGCTGTAAGATCTTAAGAAAGGAAGGGATTTGTGGCTGTTTACTATCTCTGGTTTTAATAGGTTAGGGAACATTTTGACCTACCTAAATAGGTAAGATGGCTAAGGTAAAACACCATTACCTGTTGACAGATTGAGGGAAATAGAATTTACTATCATAGATTTAGAACTGGAAGAGAATTTAGAAATCATTTAATCCAAAGAGTTATTTTACAGATGAGGAAATTGAGGTCTGGAAAAGAAAAGTGATTTATCCAAGATCACACAGCTGTTAAGAGGCAGAGTCAGGACATGAACCCAACCCTTTTGTTTCCAAAGCTAGTACTTAGAATAATCCTTGAGGATAACTGCCTGGAACCAGTCTACTAAAGCATGAGAAAGTCCATGAGAAAATCCTATGATCGACTATGCAGATTTTATGCACCAATTATTCATCATTCCTACCACTTAAATCCTCTTCCAAGGCTTCCTCATGGCATGGAAGTGACCTTGAATTCTCAAAGGTGATGCCAGTGGAGTACAAACTCTACAAGTTGAAAAGATTTTGAGTATGGGCCAGGTGACAGATTATGTTTATCATCCTAACACCATTGTAACCAAATGCAAAGAAATTTGTCAGTAGAAGAATGGCCATCACCATTTGATGATTTTTTCATGAATATTGTTTACTAAAGCATAGAGGAGTTCTGATCTGTGTCAGGGAGGGTGTATCCATACCAAGGAAGTCACAGATCTCTGAAAATTAGCCATTTATGTATGTTACCTTTTAATAAACTGGATAGAATTGGATAGAATTTTGATAATTAAAAGGAAACTATTTAAATATTCTTAGACCATTCATTTTTGCAAACTGATGTAATTGATCTAGTTTGTGGATTATCTAGATAGGTCCTTTCCAATCTTTTTAAACCTTTAGCACAGATGAGTTTCCCAGGACACATTAAGGAAGAAAGGAGCCTCCTCTTCTCTACTTCAACTAATAGCCATCCATCCACCTGTCCAGCCATCTCTCTATTCATTGAACCTTTCAACTTCAAGATAGAAACATATCAATCATGATCTGTCCTCCTTGTACTGTAGTTAGTGTTGCTTCTATCATTCATCCCACTCTTCCCTCTTCCCAAAACCTAATTCCTTCAATCTTCTCTATTCCCCACCCCCACCATCTGCAGTAGGCTGAGAACGTCTTTGCAAGAAACCAAAGTCATGCTGCCTTTCTTTCTTTCTTTCTCTTTCTTTGGGTCTTCTTGTACAAAATGACTAATATGGAAATGTTTGTATATATTTTATATACTTAATATGCAGGAGTGTGCAGGTAGAAATGTTTAACTATCTAACAACTAACTCTGAATAAAAAGATCCATGTACCACACTTTTAAATTTAATTTACTTATTAATATTTTCTCTATCACTTTCTTTTTTGGGGGTGAGGTGAGGCAATTGGGGTTAAGTGACTTGCCCAGAGTCACACAGCTAGTTGAAGGTTATGTGTATGAGGTCAGATTTAAACTCAGGACCTCCTGACTCCAGGGCTGGTGCTCTATCCACTGCACCACCTAGCTACCCCTATTATTTTATTAAGCCTAGACAATCAACAAAATGATAACTTGAGCCCTGATTTCATGTTTTCCCAAAGCATGGGAGTATTACAAAATCTACAAAATTATTATAACAATTTAAAAATTAAAAAACTACAATTCTTCATTAGGCAGCTAAGTGGTACGATGAATAGACCCTTTGACCATAAGTCAAGAAGACTTGGGTTCAGGTCCTGTCTCTAAGATGTTTACTAGTGTATGACCTAAAGCAAGTCATTTATCTTCTCTGTGCCTCAGTTTCCTCATCTGTAATAATATTATATTAATAAAACCACCTTCCAGGCTTGTTGTAAGGATAAAATGAGATATTTTAAAGCACTCTACAAACTGCAAAGTGCTATAAACATACTAGTTATTACTATAATCTTATTACTCATATGACTTCAGTTTGTTGAATAAATGAGGGATCAAGTAGAGCTTTCATCATGAGCTTTTCTCTAGCATATATTCTAATATTTCAAATACTAACCATTGCATCTTCACCACACCTTGGTATCACCATTTTCTAGATCTGACATCAATTTTGTGAATGGTCAGGGGATACCCATCAATATGAAATCAGATAACACAAGGGGTTCACCAGTTCCCTACAGGAAAGAAGTTGAGATGATTGGTTGAAGTGAAGATTTTGTCCTATTGGTAGATTTCTATTATCTATATTTTCATTGTCTCTCAGATAACTGATATTTCTTTGAAAATTTAGTACAAATAGTTGTTGTCATATATTTCTTGGGGGGAAATTATAAAGAAAATAACCATAAAATTTAAAACCTGCAAATTGCCTGACTGATTTTTAGACATAATGTACTATTTGTATTTTGCAATAGACTATTAGAATCCTTTACCTTTTTAATCTTCTTTTTTATCACATTTCACTGCATAATCATCACACCCTGTTCCTCCACAACTCCAGTCCAAAAATTGGTTTATAAGCTTTCATCGCATAATCGTCGCATGGTCTAATTCTGTTCCTCACACACTGCTTAAAAGGTTAACAGAGCAGCATGTATTCACCAGTGGCATATGGGTATGCATTTATCTTTCAGGCATTGTCATGAGCCCAGAATTCTCATTGCACACTCATTGTCAGTATTCAATTTTAACATATATTCACAAGTATTCAGCGCATCCTAATCTTGCACCAAAGACAGTTTAGTAACAAATGATTTTTAGGTAATACCAGCACAATTTTTAAAAAGTTTTACATAATGGTCACACCCCACTTTTTGCAAAAAATTTGGCATGAAATCTGCGATGATTATGTGGTGAAATACTGCATTTTTATTCTTATTGTCTAGATAAAAAGGAACAGAAAATTATGTTGGAAAGAGAATTAATAACAAGATTTCACTAAATCAATCCTACATTTGTCCTTAGTACTATATTCTTTTACTCCCCCCCACCAAATCTGTAGCCTTATTTTCAGAAATAAAGAAGGGAAATGATCTGTTGGTTACCTTTCCTTTCAACATAAATCACTTGTCTAATCTTTCTGCATTTATTGTCCAAACAATAAACTAGTGAATTTAGTGTTGCATTGTTGAACCTGGAAGTGATTTGATTGGAAAATTTAGTTCTTTCTGCTCTTTCTGGTTTACCCAGATTACTGTGGATCTATGATCATTGAAGGGGAGGAAGCTCCAATTGCCTACACTCTAGATGACACTAAGCCAGATGGTAGTTATGCTGCCATAATAGGGTAAGAATGAAAGATAAGCTATCCCTTTATAATGTCCAAGCATTTTTGGTGATGAAGGATTTTTTTTAAATTTTCTTTGCTTCTTGAAAAAGAAGAAACTAATGTTGTTAAGAAAGATGAACCAAAATCATTTTGAAATGTCTTCTTATGCAAGAAAATGGTTCCTCAAATATAATGTTCCATAAATCAGCACTATTACTTTTTCAAAATGTCTACTAAATTCACATTTTAAAAAAGTAGAATTCTGTTTACATTTTGACAGTTATTACATCTATCACCATTTTGGTTTGGGTTTAAAAAGACAGCAGTTCACAGGAAAGTTATCTTGTTGAAATTATTAGAATAATGATATACTTTTAAGATAGAAAGTGCTTGGCAAAGAATGAGGCTAAGTGGGGAATTTTAATAAGCAATTATCATTCTATGACAATTGAAGGAAAATGATATGATACTGACCTGGACTGCTGACAAAATGATATGTTTATTTATCCCCCAGAATTCCTCAAGACTGAAAGTGGCATTCAGTACCTAGAATTGGAACAACTTGCAAATAAAAGGAGCATGGAGACAAAATAAATCAGTTTGGGACATAGTTAGCAGTCTTTTAAAACAGAATGCTATTATGTGTAAATTTACATGAGCAGGACAAGAGGGAAGACAATTTCATATTATTTTTTCTTATTTTTTATGTTCTAGATTTATTCTTGCCCACAAAGCAAGAAAATTGGCACGTCTTACCAAAGAAGAAAGGTAAGAAATAAAGCTTGTGATTTAACAGTTTATTACTATGAATTTTAAATTAATGTGCAGAACACCTAACAATTAATATATGTATCACAAAATACTAGTAGTTTGTTAATTACTGAGGCACTAAGAAGCCATTTTAGGAAAAGTATGAAGCTGGAATTTAAAAAAAAAAACTGGTCTTCTAATTCATTCTGCAGAATAGTTGCCGTTTTGAGTACTCCTTATGAACAAGGTAATAGGCCTATATGGGGAAATACAAAGCTATTTAAGGTACAGTCCTTGATCCTAATTAAGTTATAGTTTAAGGGGCAGCGACGTGGTACGGTGGATAGAGCACCAGCCCTGAAGTCAGGAGGACCTGAGTTCAAATCCGGCCTCAGACCAAACACTTGACACTTACTAGCTGTGTGACCCTGGGCAAGTCACTTAAGCCCAATTGACTTAAAAAAAATTATAGTCTAGTGAGGAAGATAAGACCGATACCCTGGACAATACACAGCAATATGTGGTAAATACTGAATGAACAACACAAACATGCTTATTATTAGGTTGATTTTTGTTGTTGTTCAGTCATTTTTCAGTCATGTCCAACTCTTTATGACCCTATTGGGATTTTCTTGTCAAAGATATTCCAGTTCATTTTACAGATGAGGAAACTGAGGCAAAGAGGGTTAAGTGACATGCTGTGGAATCTTGTGGAAATGAACCTCTTTTACTTGTCAACATGAGAAATGGGAAGGGTACTCTTCAAATTTTCCATACATTCTCCTCATTCAGAAAGATTTTTTGCCAAGGACTTAGTCACTTGCCGGGAGAAAGCAATCTGCTTTGGGAGATGTCTTAACTCTTTTAATTTATTCGGTAAATTCCTATTTGAATAGATGCTACCAGCCAGTAATCCACAGAGCACTTTATAAAACAATCTAAATAGAGCCACTTACTCACTGGTAGCATCTGATGAATATTCGTCATTTCCTTTTCCAAGGTGACAGATACTTCATGGTCATTTACTAAATATTGTATTCTTTGAATTTATTACAGGCAGTTGCTACTCTAATCAGACTGATCTAATTAGATATAGAAAGCAGGACACTCTATATTGTCTTGAATATTCTTGGTCAGAAAAGTCCTTCTTCCAGCTAAATGTCTTTTCCCAGCCTTAGCAGTACTGAATTATCTACAGCACGTATATTATAGAAGGCTGTCTATCACTTAAAGGTAGCTGGGTGGCTCAGTGAATAGAGCATTGACCCTGGAGTCAGGAAGACCTGAGTTCAAATCTTGCCTTAGACATTCACTAGCTATGGGATCCTTGGCCAGTCACTTAACTTCTGGTCTGCCTTGGTTTCCTCAACTGTAAAATGAAGGTAATAATAGCTCCTTTCTTTGAGGATGGCTGTAATAATAAAATGAGATAATATTTGTACAATGCTATTAAAAATCTTGATAATGGAGAGCAGAAAGGTATATCTTCCAGTTTCTTATCATGTAAAGGAAGTGATATTTGTCTTCCCTTAGAAGCAATGTGCAATGGGAAGTATATTGAACTGGGAGTCAGTAGACCTAGGTCTAATTCTAATTGCTACCTAACTATGTGGCCCTGGACAACTCACTTCATCTCTCTGGGGCTTTGCTTTCCTCCCCAGTGAAATGAGAGCTGAACCAGTTCTAAGGTTCTATATTAAGTACATTGATCTAATGTTTGTGGTTACAAAGTGCTTTAGTTACATAATCGTATTTAATCCTCTCAACAATGAGTTAGAGACTACTAGCAGACTTGTCTTTATTTTTCCCAATGATGAGGAAATAATCATGACTAATAAGTAGGAAAACTAGGATGGAAACCTATGTCATCTGACTCCCAGTCCGTCATTCCTTCCTCAACGTTGCACTGCCTGTACTGTGTGACAGTCAGCTTGGTGTAAACTACAGCAAACCTTAAGTGATTGTTTTACCTGCTTAGTGATTCTATTGACCTGAAAAGTTGCCTTCAAAATGTTTGAGCGTTTCATTGTCTTTATTGTTTTGTGTTTTGGATATGAAATGACCTTTTTAGCCAAGTTAAAATAAAATAATAATGAATAATCAACCTCTTATTTGAGAGGTAAGGGAGGGGAAGGAGAAGCTAAGGTGGTGTTTAATTGATTCTACTTTGCCTTTGAAGGAAGAAGAAACTCTGTGAACTCTATGCAAAGGTTTTGGGATTAAAAGAAGCACTCAATGTAAGACCAATATTTCCTACAAAATTAGCCAGGTTTTCCTCCCTCCCCCATAAAAGGGACTCAGTAAGTCAATGTTGATATGATTAACAATGTCCTTTGTAAGAAGCCGGTTGAAAGAAAAAAAATTCTTCCATTATATATGTGTGATTTGTCTCTACCAGGACCCACACAAAGGATATCCATCTTGAGTCAGCTCCTGGCTGGCTAGTGACCTCACAAACCTGTATGTTTACTGCTCTTGCTAGGTTTGGTGAACGACACAGTTGCCCAGGACCCTCAGTTTCAGGGAGACCTTGCTCTTCTCAAATAAAGACAGCCTTGGGAAGGTAGCTAGCTAGCAAGAAAGATGGAAGTGGCAGCACTAGGAAAAGGTGATGACAACCTGAAGATCATGCTTAATAGGTCTATAAATAAGGCTATAAACCTCCAGCTGCGAGCACTGCCTTTGTCACTCAGGCAAAGCAGATAAGGTGGTTTTCCCTCCCCAGCTTTCACATAGATAGATTGTTCCTCTGTGATTTTTTTTTCCTTTTCTAAGACAACTTCGGTGTTTATCTTACCCTAATTTTACTGGAATAAAAAAAAAGTGGAGTGGGAGAAGTAGGGAATGGAAGAGGAGCAGCAGAATACACAGTATGATTTAGCCCGCCCGTCCACCTAGAGGTGGTCCTGCCTGCATGCTTGACTACCCTTGTCGCCTCTACTGTCATTTTTGTTCTTTGAAGCAGCATTTGAAAGCTGTGTTTTGCGTACCCATGGAAACAATTCAAAGAGATGATTTTTTTTCTCCTTTTAAATTCAAAGGCTCTTAGAGGGTACCTTCACTTTTAGTACATTTTTATTATAAACCAAGGGGCCCTAATGTAGAGTTCATAAGCAACAGCAAAATCCATCTTCTTTGTTCACTTTCTATAGCTTTTGAGTATTAATTAATGTTCTGGGTATAATCACTAGACTGCTCATTTTGAAATATTTTGACATGTATTTTATCACCTTCTGAAAGTGATTACAAAAGCCATTTATCTGTTAAGCTTTAAACAAACAAACACAGAGATTAACATAAAAATAAACCATGGGGGGAAGAAGTCTAACCAAAGTACCCTATATGCAATCCAATCCATTCACTCATTTATTCATTCAACATATCTTCATTTAGGGTCAACTGTTTGCAAGGCATTATGCTAAGTTCTAAGGGAAAATCAGAAAAGAGTAGTATATTTTACCTGCTCTTATGGATCCAACAGCCTATTTTGGACATTAATAACCAGCAGCTCCTAACTCTATTAGGTGTGTACCAGGAGCTGTTTTCTGACACAGCTAAAACCTATAGGAAAGAGACACGTGGTCTAATGAGAGAGTCAGAGGACCAAAGGTCAAGTCTTGAGTTTGACACTTACCAGGGTCATTGTAGGAAAAGAATTTTACAAAATCCAATCTATGCTTTATAAATCTAAGCTATGCTTGTTTTGTAAACAATATACCATTTTTAATCTTTTTAAGTTTAGTTTCTGTTAGGCTATATATTCAAGTATTAACAAGTTTTAACCTAAAAGTAATATTTAGGCATGCCCTGCCAAAAATACTATAACATCGGGGATTTGGAGCTAGAAGGCACCTTAGAGATCATCTCACGCAAGCCTCTTATTTTATAGATGAGAAAACTTGAGATCCAAACAGAGAAAAATCACTTCTCCATGATCAAATGACTGGTCAGTGACAAATCTAGGACTCAAGCCTGAGGCCTCTTGAGTCCAATCCCACTGTGCTTTCCATTTTTGTACAGAATTTTATTTTTATAAAGGGAAAAAGAGCTTGCTCATCTCTGTGTGCCAATAAGCCACATCCATGGAATAGATCTACCGTGCACTTCGTTTGTTGTTTGTCTTTCGTTCTTGAAGAGGACCAGTGACATCATGAGGATGATGTCTTGACATGCACGTAAATTGGATTTAAGTGTGAACTATGACTGGTTTTGACCAAGGTACTGCCAGCTTTTGGTGGCAGCTTATTGTAACTAGAAGCAGATGGCACACTCTGAAACAAATTTTCAACAAGCTGAACAAATGTTCAGCTTGCCAAATGAATCTGATAAAGTGAACACAGTAATGTCACACTGTGTCAGAAAGTATCATTTCTAACGGTAAGATAGATTCAAAATGTGAATGGCCCCTGTCTCTTGAAGAAATGTTATGTTTTGTTTTCATAATATTTCTTCTCAGTTGCCTTCCACATGGAGATGCTGTCACTCTTTACCACTGCAATTGTCTCTAATCTTTGACCAAACACCCAAGGTAGATATACCCTTTTCCCAGATTGTCCTAGTTTTCTGAGCCTTTCAGATCCCAACGTGCTAAACAGTAAACGCCTCTTAAATAATCCATTTTCCAAGGAAATAGACACCAATGGTGAAAACTTGTTAAAAGGGAAATGGAAACTTAAGACATGTAAATAGGAACTAATATATGCATGTATCACATGTATTCTAACTTATAAAGTTAGAATTCTTAATAAGTTTTTTTTGTTTGTTTTTTGTTTTTCCATATACTTGGACTTTGCTGACTGGTGGCCAAAGCCAAATCCTATAATAGCAGGAGAAGCAGAGCTCTGAGATTCTAATATAAGGTTGTTTCAGAAAGAAGCTATGATAGTGTTTGGTGCTGTCTTCCTTTGACTTTCTTTCAAACTGTCCTAATTGTCTTACAGCCAGTGCATTATGAAGAGAAAAACTGGTGTGAGGAACAGTACTCAGGAGGCTGCTACACAACTTACTTCCCTCCAGGAATAATGACTCAGTATGGGAGGTACTGTATGTGAAACTTATGTACAAAGCTGTAACTGTAGGAGCCTTGGGGTGAGCTAAGAAAAATTCTCTTTTAAGTTGGTATACAGATCCAGTCCCTAAGGTCTATTTCTTCAACATTAAGTAAATGGAATTCAGCACCATTATATTTCTATTACTGTGTTTTCATTATAAAAAGCAATATCTCAGGCTCTGTCTTTGTTTTATTGAGGAGATGATGGGGTCTGTACCCAATCTTGTCATTGTAGGGGAATCCTTTCACGAATGCAGATGGTGCCTCTCTGTAACTTGTAGGAATGGTGAAGCTAAGTACTTTGCCCATGACTGCTCATGTGGATGATCCAGTTTTTTGAATCCTTGTGTTGGAGGCATAGCTCTAACTACAACACCCTTAGTTCAGATTTGATATTGAGACAAAATGAGGCACTGTCATAATATAGTGAATATTTAACAAAGGAAGTTTACTTTGCCTTAACACATAGCAAGGACATGCAACAAGGGTCCAGTAGCCTCAGGCTCTCTGGACATGGCCCCCCTTCTTTCCATCTGGAATCACTTCAGGTCAATAAGTCATCAGGATATGTTGAGTTGCATGGTCTCAAGCACCTACCAAATCTGAGAGGCCCAGACTCCACGTGCCTGGGACTTTTGATGCAATTAAATGACCAGGGAGGTGCATCAAGGAAACTGGTGCTAATCACATCCCAGAGACAGCTTTGTCCTAGTCCTTATCAATGTTGACTGAGGATTGGAGGGTGGGGAGCAGGATGCAAAGCAGGGAAGGAAGTTGTATCAGGGAAGTTGAAGTTAATCAGGCCCCAAAGGCAGCTTTTTCTTCTTTTAAGTAAAGCTTCCCTTTGGGAAAGGGGTGGGGTTTTGGGGAGGGGGGTGACCACAAGGATAACTCTCAAGCCAACATGATACCTCTTACTATGTTTTTAAGAATATTAATTCCAATGATCAGCAAGTAGCTTCAGAAATGGTAACTTTTTGTTGAGTTTGTACTTTCTAAAATGGTACTTATTTCTATAATGGTACTTATAATGGTACGTGAATGGCAATATGAAAGGAAATGCAATGATTTCTGACATTAAAAGTAAGTGAGAGCTTCTTAGTTTTTTAAGTTTGCTTCTTGTTTGCAGGATACAGCTGCCTATTTTCAGTTAAACAAATGATGTACCTATTTTGTACAATGCACTGTGCTAAATGATAGGAATTTTAAAAATGAAACAAAAAATATAATTTATAATCTAGCATATAGGGGGAAAAAACAGATAATGGTACAAGGGAGACCATTATGAAACCCAAGGTTCAAGAAGGAAAAGATCAATTATAGATGAAGGTCTCAGGAAAGGTTTCCTGGAAAATGTGCTGCTTGAATCAGATCTTAAAGGAAAGGAAGAATTTCCATTTTGGGCTTGGGAGATAGTATGTATGAAAGCACAAAAGGCAGGAGAATAAGGGATGATGAATAAAAGAGCTGGATTCAAGTACATGAAGGAAAATCGTAAAAAATAAAGCTGAAAGATTGGAGTTGGAATATGGAAGACCTTGGGAAGCAATGATGAACCATTGCTGGAAGGTGTTTTTGTTTGTTTTTGCTTTCAATTCAACAGATATTTAGTAGTGCCTACTATGTGCAAGGCACTGTAAGGGTATGCTCTGAAGCAACCTTTCGAGTGCTCCACTCAGACTGATAAAAGGGGCACAGTAACATCAGAATGTATCCTTTATTATCATGGAAAACTAAAGATTCCTGGAGGCAGAGGTAGGGAGGAGGAGCATCCAGGCATAAAAGACAGCCTTTCCTAAATTACAGATGTGGCAGCTGGAATGTCTTGTACAAGGACAAGTATTGCTTCAAATATAAAGTTTGTAAAGTAATAATACTAATAGCATTTATATAGCACCTTTTATGTTTCAGGCACTGTGTTAAGTGCTTTACAAATATTATCTCATTTGATCCTCACAACAACCCTGGGGGAGTTGGGTGCTATTCTTATTCACACTTTACAGTTGAGAAAATTGAAGCAAGTAGAGGTTAAGTGACTTGACCAGGGTCACACAGCTAGTGAGTATCTGAGGCTATATTTTAACTCAGATTTTCCTGGCTTCAGGCCCAGCACTCTACCTACTGTACCACCTAGCTGACTAAGGAAATAATGTGAAATAAATTAGAAAAGATAAGTTGGAGAACTTTTAAAGGTCAACCAAAGGAGTTCTTATTTATCCAAGAAGCAAGAGAAAGCCACTTAAAATTTTTTGAGCAGGTGAATGGCACGAGGTCAACCCCATATTTCGAAATACCAGTTAGACAGCTATATAGAGAATAGATTGGAGAAATGAAAGAGTGGAGACAGGTGACTACTGCCATAATCTTAGGTGAGTCTACAGGTGAGATGTGAAGAGGGTATAGACTAGGGTGTTGGTATTATAAGTAGAGAAATGAGATGGATTTGAGAAATGTAAGGTTAAATTGGTAAAACATAACAACTAATTGGATGGGGGAGGGATGACAGAGAGTGAAGGGTTCAGCATAACTCTGAGATTATCCTAGGAGGATGGTAATGCCTTTAAAAGAAATAGAGAAGTCAGAAAGAGGACTAGGTTTCAGGGGGAAGATAAATGGGTTCCATTTTCGATGTGCCTATAGGACATGTAGCTGGAGCTGACCTGTAAGCAGTTGGTGATGTATGCCAGGAGTTTAGGTGAGAGATGAGACCCAGGAGTTTTTGAGAAGAGAGGTCATGTGAACAGACCTATGTATTAGACAGATTACTCTATAATGGTGTGAGGGATAGATCAGAGAGGTGAGAAAATAGAATCAGATAATGGTTAAGAGGCTATTGCAATAGTCCAGGCAATAGGTAATGAAAGTCCAGACCAGAGTGGATGCCCTACAGATGGAAAAGAAGGGAGAGAGGTGAGAGAGGTGTTAAAGGAAGGAATCAATAGAACTTTGTTACTGATTGAATGTGAGCGATAAGTGAAAGGGAAGAGTCAAAAATATCTGAGCCAAAGGAGAAGAAAGCATCAAAAATAAAGTGATGGTATCAAGGGCTGAAGAGTTGTTAAGGAGAGTAAAAATGAGGGGGAACTATTGACTTTTGTCATTAAGGAGGGCATTAGTAAACCTGGAAATATGTTTTTCAGTAGAGTGGTAATGAAGAAACCAGACTGTAAAGGGCTTTAAGAGTGGAAGCTACAAGTATAACAAATACTTTCTACATTTTTGGCATTGAAAGGTAAAGAGAGGACATCAATTTGAGGAGGTAGCAGGATAAAGAGAAGAAAATTTTCTAGAAAAATCATCTTGGGCATCAGAAACATCTTACATAGTAATTTATTGGTGCCAACCATATTATTTCAATCAGTTTGGTCTGGATATGAAACTAAGTCAGAATACCTAAGGGAAACAAAATAGCGAGATAAAAAGAACGCTGGATTAGGTATCAGGAGATCTGGATTCTAGTTTTACCTGTGTTGCTGAGTGACCTGGAGCCTCTGTTTCCTCACTTATATAATGATAATAATAATAATAACAATAATAGCTAGAATTTTTATAGTGCTTTAAGGCTTGTATATTTATTTACAGATATTTTTACAAATATTATTTCACCTTATCCTCACAACTGTGGGGTATATGAATAAATAAATGAATTAATTTGTGAATCAATAAATGAAAAAACATTTATTAAGCACCTATTTTCAGTCATTCATTCTGTTAAGCACAGGGGATACAACTAAAAAAAAAAGAGAATAGTCCCTGCCCTCAAGGAACATATAATCTATTTGGGGGAAGAGGACACATAAAATTAAAAGAAAGCTCAGCTGCAGCAGGGTGTATGGAATGACCCAGAAAACATAAGGGTCAGGGGTAGGATAGATGGCAAGACCCAAGAGCTCTTAGATGACAAAGTGGTTCAAATCATAATATTGGAATTCTACAGGGTATAGAGGCAGGTTAGATGGTAAGGCCTGAAGAACCTTAAGAAGCAAGTACAGGGAAAATGGTAGTTCCCATGATCGTCTACCTCACTGCAAGGAGTAGAGTTTTGTACTCCCATCTCATCCAAGTCCTGCAAGCAGTCAACTAGCCCAGGAGAATGATAAAAATCAAGAAGGGAGGTCTCAAGATCCCCAGTGGTGAAGGTGATCACTAAGGTTGATTTTAGCTATGACTTTCTTTGGTTCTAAGAATTTTAGAGTTGGAAAGAACATTTCAGACCTACTGCCTCAATTCCCTCTCATTTAGAGGACATCTACACTTATGTCAATATTCATGATGCATAGAGTAGCTTTCTATAGAGCTATGCTACTGGTTTTTGAAGCTTTTTCTTTTTCTTTAGGAGATAATATAGGCAATGTCTCTATTTTTCCCCCAATTAACCCGAATGGCTTCTTTGTGTACTATGATCATCTACATGTTTCATTACCAGGTCAAAAGTCTCATATTGCATCTAAAAATAAAGGCACCATAAGGCTGCCACTGCTGCTCTCAGCAAACTGAGAATGATTTCATTGACCAGTCCCAGGTCATCAGGATCATGATTTTGTTGGGATTCTCTGTGGTCCTATCACAAGCTATGTTTGTCAGTATTGCATAGATTTAAGGAAGACTTGTGTCCTAATGAATTTATTGCATAAAGAATTGATAAGTAAATTATAAATAAAGGAAGAAATTGCTTAGGAAAATGTGGGATAGGTTTTGTTTGACCTAGAATGTTTGAGAAACAGGTAGAGATTATCAAAAAGCAGACATGTTTTTCTGAATGAAACCATTCTCAGTTTGCTGCAAGTGACCTTCCTGGCAATGTGGCAGCTTTATTTCCAAATGTAAGGCTTTGATGCAATAACAAAACATTATTATAATACAAATATCATATACATACGAAAAACATTCAGCTCATTTTGGGGGAAAAGAGACATTCTTTGTAATGTTTTCTAAAAGGAGAGAAAAGTCTTCAAGAACTAGAATCTTCACTTGATATTAGCTTACATTAGAATGGATATACTCTAAATCAGGAATAAATGAGGTAGTGGGTCTGAAATTTGCCTTTTATTTCTAAAATTCTACAATTCTATGATTCTCTGAGTTCTTTTCTCTCCTTTCTGTTACTTTGTACCATTTTCATGTGTATTGGTGGTAGGCAAATGCATATGGTTTTTTAGTCCAATGTTTTAGAGGAAACAATGACTGAACATGGTATAGAAGAAGAAAAGGCAATAAAATATAGACAGAACAATACAGATTTAATGGATTTATGAAAATTTTAAGGTACTGTTAACCCCCCCGCCCCCACTTAAACCTACATGCGATGAAAGTTACTGTTGAGTTGGACAGCCAAGAATCTAAGGCCTTAGCTCAGCATTAGCTCTTCTGTCAACATATTCCTGGTTTCCCTGAGTCAGGATGTGGTCATCCACTTTTATTCTATTATAAGGAAACCTGAAGGGGGCATAACTAGATGTGTTAGGCCAACAAAGCATAGCCCAACAACAGAATAAACTGGAAAGTAATTCTTTGTCTCTTATTTACATGTTCCCCGGTAGAAAGGGATTGATTGAACATTGAGGGTTCTACATAAAATTCACTTTCATTGTTAAAAACATCCTCTTGAAAATGTTAGGCCTGATTTATTGTTGCATTTTCACTGATGGAGAAACTGAAACATAAAATGGTTTATTAAGCCACAATCAGAAAGACAGGAACTAAGATGAAGAGCCCAGGCTATTCAGATTCCAAATTTAGAGGAATGCCACCTAAGTGACAGAGTTAGATTTGACCCAACATTTGGGTGCAGATTCAAAGGCTATTAAAGGTTTTACCTTAACTGGCTGTCGAATGCATGCTGATATCTTTTCTTCTAGTATAGGAGACCGAGGCTAGTGCTGACTAACCACCACCTTTGAGAGAAAGTAGAACACCCATTTTAAAAGGATTTTTATTAGGATATTTTGAGATATCATTATATAATCAATTCAGTAGCAAATTGATATATCTTACCTCATCTTATCTATAACAAGAAATATATGATAAGTGGCTTTTTTGTGATCATATTGCCTGCTGGCTTTTTTTTTTTTTAAGATTAAGGGTACTATTTCTCATTGCTATTAATCATGTTTCCTCCCTAATTTTAGACTTTAATCCCTTATCATGGCATTGGGGTAACCCTGGGTTCTCTGCCAACAGAGTCTAAGGTGTGGCAAATTCTGTTACACATTGGCAAAACTTCAAGTGCAGGCCCACTGATCAGCCTGCTTAGCTAAGCCTATCTAGCTAAGCTCAGAGAGACTCGTCAACAGGATGTTGACTTCAAGTTGATAACATGCTTTGAGCATAGCATCCTGTGAAGGCCATCTACTAAACTGCAAAAGACTTTCAGACCATAGTGTAGAAAGACAGCTCATTCCAACAAAATCCCAGAACCTGATTAATGGAACAGATAAACATCTCAGAGATCAAGTCTCGGTTTAACCACCAATTAGCCATGTGATCTCAGATAAATCTGAACTTCTCTGGGCCTCAGTTTGCTCAACTGTAAAGTGATAGAGGTGCACTAAATAGCCTCCAATATCCCTGCCAACTCTGAGCTCCTGTGAATGCAATGCAGGTCTCCTAAGGCTGGGGATCCAATGAAGAAATAAGTGTGGTATTTTCAGTTGCTCAGTCATGTTTGACCCTTTGGGACCCCATTTGGGTCACGTGACCCAATTTCTTGAGAAAGATACTAAGAGTGCTTTGCCAATTCCTTTTCTACCTCATTTTACAGATGACGGAACTGAGGCAACAAGGTTAAGTGACTCATCCAGGGTCCCATAGCTAGTAAGTGTCCGAGGCCAGATTTGAACTCTGGAAGATGAGTTTTTCTGACTCCAGGCCTGGCGCTCTATCCACTGCGCCACCTAGAGGCCCCAAAGTGTGGTTCACCTCATTTATTTTCTATCCCACTTCATAGAGAACAAGGAAGGGGCAGGGACTAGCACTTGCTGGGTTTCATTTCTTTTTGTGCAGTGTGCCCTACATAGCACTGTGAGCTGGGGCAAGTTTTAATCCTTGGTTGCTGTTGTTCTCCCTGGAACACGGCCAGTATAGTTCATTCCATAACAAGAACAATTGTTTTGGAATTCTAAAGCTGTTTTCCCTTTTTTTCCCTTCTCTTTCTCTTTGCTTCGGTTTCAAGGATTCTTCGCCAGCCAGTTGGCAGGATTTATTTTGCTGGAACGGAGACTGCTACACACTGGAGCGGATATATGGAAGGAGCAGTGGAGGCAGGAGAGAGGGCAGCTAGAGAGGTATGGGAAGGGAGTCAATGTCTATTTTTAAAACTAAATTAATTTTGCAATTTTTTTCCGAGCAACTATCACAATAACAAACATTCGTATACACAAACAAAAAAATTTAAATATTGGCCATGAAAGCATAAGCTCCATTTTTACATTTTATTTTTGTAAAAGACCGTGTATCAATTTTAACAACATGTATATCCAAAACTCTCCGTTTGATCCCATATCCACTTTGGAATTCTTTTTTTCCCAGAGCCTCAACCTTCATATGAGCAGAATGAATTAGAGATTTAAAAGTAAATCAACAATTTCCAAGTTTCTTGAGGTTATTACAGAAATAAATATCCCATGCTTTTTGTTCTATTCCTTCTAAAGAATTATGTCACATTATTTATAATAACTTCCCAAGATGAAGAATGCAAATGCAGCTCTTCTCTTCCCCCTCCTAAAATCCAATAAGCTAGAACTAAGTTGTCCACAAGAAAATACTATGGAATAAGAGACCAAAACAATTTAAAGCTGAAATGTGCCCAAAATTTCAAAATTTCTTCATTTCTGATAAAGCTAGGAATTCATTTGCATACTTCTTTTTAATACTTATTTCAGCTTATTTCCAGCTTTAATACTTAGAGAAATGCATGTTTGAGACTTCCAAAAGATGACCCTGAATATACCAATTAGACGAACCTCACATACTATTTATCTTCTACAGGTGGAAGAGGTTGTGGGAGCTTTTGTAATTTGTTGTACCAAATTTAGTTTTATTCTTATGCTCATATTTTTAAGTCACCAAGCAGGGTAAAAGGTACTTTTTTATCATTTAAAAATATCACTTGTATATAGAGAGAGGCAATACAGTCTAGTGGATAGAGGACTGGTCTCTCAAGTATTCAAGCTCCACCTCTGACACATACTAGTTATGTGACCTTGGGAAAGTCATGAAATAATAATAGAAATAATAATAGCTAAGATTTATATACCTCCTACTATGTGCCAAGCACTGTACCTAATGTTTTACAAATATCTTATTTGATGTGTCCTACAACCCCAGGAAGTAGATGCTACTATAATTTCCATAATCTCCATAACTGAGGCAAAGAGAGGTTAAGTGATTTGCCCAGCATGTAAGCTGAGTCCAGATTTGAACCCTGGTCTTCCTGATTCCAGGTCCAGTGCTTTATCCACTTTGCCACCCAGCTACACAAGCATTTGTTTAAGACTTAGTTGCAAAATAGTTGTTGATCTGCATTGTTGGGAAGCATTTCCTCACCAAGAATCCCCTAATCCAATGAAATCACAGCTCTAGTCCTGCAAATATATGTGTGTGTATTATACACAAACATATCTTTTTTTTATCCTCTTTTTCTGTATTATATTTGATAAAAGCCAGCAGATTATAACACTGCTAAAAATCCAGCTCCAGAATCTGTAAGGCAAACCCACAGACACATTCCCTGGAATTCTGAATACATAAGTGATGTCCCTCTCCTAGCACCCATATAAATAAGACTATTACACTGGTGGAGGGAATGGAGATAGTTAAATGGTTGCAAATAACTTTCTAGATCAAGACTCACTACTCTGTCCATTATTGAGACATGTAACTCATACATGATGCCTAAGATTGTATGGACTTAGACCTGAAAGGGACTTTGGAATTCATCAGTCTAACTTCTTCATTTTGCAGATGAGGAAACTGAGGCCCAGAGAAGTTCAGTGAGTTCCAAAGATCACAGAGATAATAACAGAGCTAGGATTTGAACCCCCAGGTCTCCTAACTCTACATCCAGAGTTCTTTCTACATTACTGTTTCCTCCTCTGCCTTGATTACCACCCAGGTCCCACCCAAAGAAGGCCCTCCATTTGGAGCAGAAAAGATAAGAAAGAAAACCAGACCAACAGCCAGGGAAATTCAGTTCAGGCCAGGAAACGACTAATTAAATACATAGATAACATTGGTTTCCAGGTTCAGATGTGTTTTTTCAAAAATAAAATGAAAGGGTAATAGGAGGTGGGGAGCAATTTAAGCCCCCACTCTTGGGGAAAAAAATTAACTACAATCATTTTTATAAATGCACACACTTATTTATACTTCATCTATAGAGTTGCATTATCTGTGCATTTTATTGAGGTCTTGGCTTTGAAACAGTCAGTCATAACCAAAGAGGAAGGTCAATTCTCTGTTTTACTAAGGGGGGTGGAAAGATACAGACTACTCAATGATTAGCTGATGAGCTGATGGCCTTCTTTCATTTTACTGTGGAGGGGAACAAGAAAGGGAGGAGAGGATGCATGAGGAAGAGGAGAGAGTTCTTTTTTTTTTTCCTTTAATGCAGGTTTACAAGTTACATTTAAACTAGTAGGATTCACTGGGAAATGCTCTCATTTCAGGTACTACATGCTATGGGAAAAATTCCAGAGGATGAAATCTGGAAGTCAGAACCAGAATCTGTGGTAAGTGATGTTTCATGATGTCAGATGTACTAATGACTTCAGGTAATGTCTGATGACATTAGTATAAATCTCTTTTATTATTATTAAATTAAATTACTATTATTAAAAAATTAAGAAAAAATATAGTTTTTTGATCCTTATGTGCTTCAGCCAGTGAATATTTTAAGGAGTTACCATGGGCCTGGAGGTGGAAAGGTTGTGTATATTTGTGTATCCCCTGTGCTTAGCAGGATGAATGGCATAAAATAAATGCTTATGTGCTTCAATCAAAGAATGTTTTAAGGAAGTACCTACCATGGGCCTGGAGATGGGAGTGTTGTGTATATTTTTGTCACAAAGAACTAACAAGATAGAACATAAAAGGTAAAAAGAGTAGGAACAAGCTGATTTTTTTTTCTGAATAGGAGACAACCTCAGAAATGAGTGCTAAGATCAATCTTGTTTAATATTTTTTGTAAATGATCTGCAAGAGAAGCATTTGGTAAAATCTATAATCTTACAAAAGACATTAAGATTTTCTGAGTTGTGAAAAGTCAAGTGATAAGGGAAACTGGGAAAATCTCAGAAAATGGTAACAGAGAGTAAAAAAGTAGGCAGGGAATGAAGGAGACCCTTTTTAATGCTTTAATCTAAAAAGGGTATTTTTAGTAACTGTTCCTCTCCAAAAAGTTCATGCTGCATCAGGCCCAAATAGGCTAACAAGATGCTAGACATTATGAAGAAAGGCTTCAGAATGAAAGTAGAAACTTGTCCCACTCTTGAACACCATGTAGTGCTTATTAAGAAATCTAAAGAAAGATGCCATAGAAATACAAAAGGATGGCTTTTAAGTCAAATGATGGAAACAATGAGTAGGCTCCAGCATGAATGTGAACTAAAATTATTCATGCACAGAAGCACCCATAGAATTTCAGAGTTGGAAGGAGCTTCAGTGACTATCTAACCTGAAAAAGACTCACTTCTTCATGATTATTAGACCTCTTCTTTTGGTAAAGATGAAGATGGAGAGAAAGCTACACTATATGGTTGTGCAATCATTAAGGGCATGAGTACAATGGATATACTAAGACCCAGAATATTATGATCCAGAAGCAGACCTTGAAGCATGAAAAAAGGCTAAAATAATCATATACTTGTCCAAACCTACCTCAGGAAGTGATGCAGTCTGAAACAGACAACTAAGTACATGAGCATCTAGATAAAATTCATTGGCAGCAAGGCTCCATAAGAGGCAACTAAGAAAAACAAGTTTTTTAGTTTTACATTAAAAAAAAGTATCTGAGGCCAGATTTGAATTCATGAAGATGAATCTTCCTGACTACAGGCCCAGCACTTTATCCATTGTACCACCTAGCTGCCTCTTAGAATCCCTCAGTTCCTTCAAAACTCAGCTCAAGCATCACCATCTATGTGAAACGTTTTCTAATACATCCAGCTACTAGTGCTTTCTCTGGAAATTGTCTTGAATTTATTTTGTCATATAAAGATATGTTATATACATATTATTTTATATAAACTTGTAGGAGGACATATTGTCATCCACAGCATAGAAGCACCTTGAAGGCACAGATTATTTCATTTTTGTCTTTGTGTACCTAGCACTTAGTATACTTCCTAGCTCATAGTAGGTTGCTTAGTAAATGTTCATTACTATATAGATATTTTATATATGTTTTATATATATATATAATATGTGTATATACATACATATGAATATATTTCTTTCTATATATATAATATATGCATGCATATACATATATATTCACATATATGTCTGTGTATTTGTTTTTCAAGAAAAAGAGAGTGAGAAAAAGAAATCCCTATCTCTCCCAGCCTAGAAATGAGGAGGGTACTCATAATCTCACTACGAATTGGCATGGGAGCTTTGACTTGCTCTGTTTCTGACCTAGGCTGATTTGCCCATCCTTAGGCACTTAGACAGCCTGGTGGCTCCACAGACCTACTCCCAGGGGCTCACCTTGTCAGTACCAGGCTTCATATGGACACCTGACTATCCTAGCTCGTTGCAACTCAGAATTCCTGAGCTTAAGCCCTCCACCAGCCTCAGCTTCCCACATTCACAGATGACACCACACCCAGTTTAATTGATTATTTTGTAAATAATCTTGCTTGATGATTTTGAGTTACTAAGTCCATTACCCACATGGGTGGCTTGACTGTGAATTTGGATTTGCTGCATATGATAATTGATTACCTTTACCCCTCTTCCACGGGGCTATAACTAGATGCCAGAATCCTAGCATTCCTTCCCTTTTTCCCTTCTTACCTATGCCATCCACATTCCAAAATACAAGAATGGGTTGTTTAGGGTTCCTTTTTTTTTTAAGTTTTATTGATGTGCTTTGTTCTTACTTCCACTTTGTGCTAGGTATCTTGTAACAAAGTAAAAGAGTTAAGTAAAACTAATAATACAATGACCTCATCTGAAAGTGAGTGCAACATTTCAAAACGTAGCACCACCTGTATCGCTCTATTTTTAAAAATTAATCTGTTTTCTATCCATCCCACTCCCCACCTTGTTAGAAAAAGAAAAAAGAAAAAAAAATTCTTGTAACAAGTAAGCATGGTCAAGGATTTGTTTATAAGGGAAAAGAGACTACACCAATCCATAAATAATTTACTAGGATAAGGTTAGTAGATATGTATGTGAAAGACAGCTAACAAGGCTGGATGGTTAAGTTTTATAAACTAAGATCACCAGGCCTCGCCTCACTTGCCCCACAAACCTCTCCAGCCCTGGGCTGTCTGGTGCCTTCTTCCATAATATACTCCCACACAGATTTAGAATTTTCTGATTTGAGTGTGCTGGATGTAGCTCATTCATAGATTCTATACTGCCAGGTCCCCTATCACTCAGCCAGGAAGCTTTCTGATTGAATAACATATTTGGAGATGCTTTACCAACATCCCTACCTAATCACTGGCTAACTTTCCTCCCCTGCTCAAGGGAAAACCAGAAAATTCAAATAAATACAGTGCCCCCCATCACTTCAAAAATAGAAGAGAATACCACCATGAAAGGAGGATCATGGGAATCATGGCAGGAAGGGATTTTAGAGACCCCAAATTTCAATCCTTTATTTTATAGGTGTGAAAACTGATTCTCAAAGAAAGAAAATGGCTTGGCCAAAGTACCCCCATCTGACTTTTAGTCTATTATACAGAAGCATCTAAATATAATAAGTCTCTTTGGTTTGGGTTCTTTATATCCCTTGCTGCCTGTGTGTCCATGGACAATGGAAGCTCATTCTATCTCTAGATCCTGTGACTGTGATATAAACATTAGTCTGCCCCTTCACCTTTTTATTCAGTTGTTTAAGTCATATCTGAGTCTTCATGACCCCATTTTGGGGTTTTCTTGGCAAAGATACTGGAGTGGTTTTCCATTTCCTTCTCCAGCTCATTTTATAGATGAGGAAACTGAGGCAAACAGGGGTTAGTGACTTGCCCAGGGTCACATAGCTAGTAAGTGTACGAGACCAGATTTAACTAGTTTTTCTGACTCCAGCCCTAGCACTCTATCCCCATGTGTCACCAACTGCCCTGCCCCTCCACCTGTCTCAGGACTAACATAAAATATTCTTTTATCTAGGATGTGCCAGCCCAGCCAATCACCACCACCTTCTTGGAGAGGAACTTGCCTTCTGTGCCAGGACTTCTGAGACTGATTGGATTATCTACAGTCTTGACTTCAGCAGCTGCTCTTTTCTTAGGCTATAAAAGGGGGCTCCTTCTGAAAAACTGAAAAGGCCCCTTTTTAGGGAAATTTAAAGCACTTAGACTCCCCATTACAGAAAGCAGATTATTGGGTTGTTATTGTTTTGGTTTTTGGGTTTTCTTTTCCAATTACAACACCTGATTGCCTCTGCTATCAAAAGCCTCCCTTCAAATCTATCTCATCAGTTTCCTTGCTTGCTGCTCTCGGACTTTACTCTAGTCAAGAAAATTCACTCATTGTGCCCTGATTCTCACTCCCTACCTTTGTGACCATTTTGATTTTTTTAATGGCTATCTGCTTCCTTCTCCCACTTTCTCTCACAGACCCAGAGAGTGGGGAGGAACGTTAGCTTCATCCAATCAACCTCTTTATTGTGCAGATGAAGAAACTGAGGCCCAAAGAGGGGGAGGAACCTGCTTATGAGGTCACAAGACCACTTACTTGGTAGTACAGTCAATAGTCTCTCCAGATTCCTACATTCAGTCGTCATTCCCTTTGCCTCTGACTCAAAACCTTGTCCAAGGAAGTAGTCTGCAAATAACCTGAGCTCACTAGCACACTCTTTCCTATGTTCCCTACATATTGCATATTGTGTTAATTCATATGACTTATATGTTATTCTCTGTATGTACCTACATTTTTGCTCCAACCTGAGAGCAGGTTCGTTGCTTTCCATTTCTTTCATGTTCTGAAATGCTTATGTGTGGTAATCAATGCTAATTAACCATTCAATAAAAATTATTCGTTGAATCCATGTATGCTGTTTTTTATTTTCTTTTAGATGATAGCCTAAGATAAAGCAAAGGCAGCTAGGTGGCACAGTGGATAGAATGCTTGGTCTTGAGTCAGGAAGACTCATCTTCATGAGTTCAAATCTGGCCTCAAACCCTTAGTAGCTGTGTGACCCTGGCCAAATCACTTAACCTCTCAGTTACTCATCTGTAAATGAGGTGGAAAAGGAAATGGCAAACCATTCTAGTATCCATGCCAAGAAAGCCCCAAATGGAGTCACAAAGAGTCAGACAAGATTGAAACAACTGAACAATAAAAAGATAAAGCAAGTCAGATCAAAAGCCAGCATTTTATATATATATAAGAACTGTAAGCTTCCATTGTTCCAGATGATACGCCTTTTCAAATCAGATGTATCCTAAGGCCACGAGTGTTGGTATAAGCATTTAAAATATTATTTTTGATGAATTGCCACAGGATGCTAAATAATGTTATCATCTAGGTTTTTCCTACCTAATGATTGAATTATTTGTAACAACACTGAGACATTAAGCTAGCAAATCAATCAATCAGCCAGCATTCACTACTTGCTTATTATGTGCCAACACTGTGCCAAGTGCTGGGGATATAAAAGTGTCCCTGACTTTAAATGGTTTAGATTCTAACCAGGTAGATAAGATACACACACACACACACACACACACACACACACACACACAAAATCAGTACAAGGTAGTTTGGGGAGACAGGGTACTAGTAACTGGGGTGGAGGAGTAGGGTTGGGAAAAGTTTTTAACGACTCCTGAACTGAGTTTTAAGGAAACCAAGGACTTTAAAAGAATGGACTACATTCCAAGCATGGGGATACCTAGTGCAATTGTGCAAGTGTTTATTAAGTTCAGCATAATTATGGACAGCTAGGTGGTACAATGAAAAGAGTGCCAGGCCTGAAGTCAGGAAGGCTCATCTTCGTGAGTTCAAATTGACCTCTGATGCTTACCAGCTGTGTGAGCCTGGGCAAGTCACATAACCCTGTTTGCCAGTTTCCTCATCTGTAAAATGAGCTGGAGAAGGAAATGGAAGAACCATTCCAGTATCTTTGCCAAGAAAGGGTCACAAAGAGTCAGACCTGTGGGGCAGGTAGGTGGCGCAGTGGATAGAGCACCGGCCCTAAAGTCAGGATGACCTGAGTTCAAATCTGGCTTCACACCAATCACTTGACACTTACTAGCTATGTGATTCTGGGCAAGTCACTTAACCCCAATTGCCTAAAAAACAAGAGTCAGACACAACTGAAAATATGTAAGTCTCTATGTTAAATGTTAGATAGAAATACAGGTACAAAGAATGAAACAATCCCTACTCACTAATGAACTTGCATTCTAATGGAAAATGGAATGCTGTATATGAGGAATAGTTTGACCAAACCATAGTGAATATTGCAGGGACTAATATGTAAGACTGAAATAGAGGTTGGGACCAGGTTCTGAAGGGCTTTAAAGGTATTAGGGAGCTACTGGAGTTTGTTGGGGAGGGAGTGACATGATGAGGCCTATGCTTTAGGAAAATCATTTTGGCAGCTGTGTGAAGAATAAATTGGAGGGGAGACTTGTTGCAATAGTCAAGGCATGGGGGTGGGCCTATACCAGGGTTATGGTGATGTGAGTGGAGAGAAGAAGTGATTTTGAGAGATGTTGTAGAGATAGAATTGGCAATATTTGGCAATTGAAATGTGGGGCAAGAGTGAAGACTTGAGGATGACATTGAGTTTGCAAAACTGGGTACTGGAAGGATAGTAGTGATCTCAACAGTCATTAGGAAGTTTGGAAAAGGAATAGAGGGTGATGGAGGGGAGGAAAAGGAGTAAAGATAATGAGTACAGTTGGGGACATGTTACGTTTGAGATGAATCTAAGATGTTAAGTTCAAAATATTCAAGAAGCAATTGGTGGTAAGAGACCAGGGGTAGGTCAAGAAAGAGACTGGACATAGATCAAGAAGTTATCTCCTGAGGCGTGATAATTGAACTCATTAAAGCTGATGAAGTCACCAAAAGCAAGTATAGAAAGAAAATGGAAGATGACACAGGACAGAGCCTTTGGCACACCCACAGTTAGGGAGAGTGATATGAGTAGTAATCCATTAAAGGAAACTAAGAAAAATCAGTCAGACAGATTCATGCAAATCCAAAAAGAATATCCAAGAGAAAAAGGTGGCCAGCAGTGTCAAATGCTTCAGAGAGATCAAAAAAAGGATGAGGATTAAGAAGAGGCTCTTAGATTAGGGCGGCCCTAATCTTTTATTAAGAGGATTTGTTCTGTGAAGTTTGGATTCAGTCAAAGGGCCACACTTGAAGACCTAGAGGGCCACATGTGACCTCTAGGCTGCAGGTTTCCCATCCATGGATTAGGTAATTAAGAGATCTCTAGCAACTTTGTAGAGAGGAACTTCAGTTAAAGATAAAGTAACTTCAGATAAAGTCAAAAGCCAGATTTCACAGGGTTTAAAGGAGAGCTTTTTTAAAAAAAGGAGTTTGGCTGAGAAAGTCAGAAGAGATTTAGGACGATAGCTTGCAGGCATCGTAGAATATAGCAAATTTTTAAGGATGCTGGCGACTTGTATATGTCATCACAATTGCCCTTTTCCGCATGAAGTTTTCCATTAAAATACTAACTTAAGCCTGCTATTCTATAGCACACTGAATCCCATTGTGTCTTCTTTTTCAAAAAGAGGTTACCTTTTCATAATGTCCATAGTTCCTGATTGCAAAGGTCAGTTTTACAAAAGGTAAATTTTAAATCCATAGACGATCATTTAAGATCTCTATGAAATTCATTGTATTTATGAGAGAGAAAATCAAGAAAGTTTCAGAATGTTAACAAATTTACAATGTCATGTATATTCAAATACCTTTAAGAATCATAGAGACAAAACTAAAAATAAATAAATTTTTAAAAAGATATGAAACTGAAAAAAAAGAATCATAGAGACAGAGAGAAAATGAAATATTCCATAAATACTTTTTTTTTGGAAGCCATTTTGCCTATAGAATCTTCTTTGTGACTGTTACTAGATTGCATACTACCTATATTTTTGGATCCAGCCAAACTCTCTCCAAAGGGGTTCTATTTCAACTCTAGAAAGAAAATTTGAACACCGTCCTCTGAGTGCAGAATACCGGACTTTTTGTGAAGTGAGTAAATAACACAAATCTTATTCCGATTTTGAGTCATTCGGGTCTTCAGAAGGATAGGCCGAGACCTCTGTACTCCATTTCCTTCTGTTACAAAGAAAATTTTTGTTTGGGCCTTTGCCCTCAATAATGAAGCAAACTCAGGTAGAGAAAATGTAAATGAGTTTGTTAAGCACTTCAAGGCAACTAGGCATTGAGAGAGGCCAGGATACAATTTTAAATCACCTGCTGCTTTTATAGACAATTTTTCGTAATGAGAGCAAGGCAATCTTTTTTTTTAATTAAATAAATATTAGATTTATTTGGTTGTAGACTCTTTGTGCCTATTTTAAAAATTTTAAATAGTATTTTATTTGTTCCCCAATTACATATCAAGAAAAAAATTTAGCATTCATTTTTACAAGATTTTGAGTTCCAAATTTTTTCCCTCCCTCCTCTCCCCTCTTTTGAAAAATGACAGGCAGTTTGCCTTGGTTTATACATGTGCTATCATGTAAAACGTATTTTCATATGTGTCACTGTTGTGGAAGAAGAAACAGATCAAAAGGAAATAAAACCACAAGAAAGAATACAGTAAGTGAAAAAAAATGCTTCAATCTGCATTCTGAGAGTTCATTAGTTCTTTATCTGGTCATAGATAGCATTTTCCTTCGGGAGTCCTTTGTACTTGTCTTGCATTGTTGTGTTGCTGAAAAGAGCTGAGTCATTCATCACCAATCATCACAGAATATTGCTGATATTGCCTACAGTGTTTTCTTGGTTCTGCTCATTTCACTTAAGGGCAAGACAATCTTGATAGGTACACACTTCCAAAAGGGGTTGGGCCATTGCATCTTAGCTCCTCACCTATTGCCACATCTTAGAGAAATGACATTAGAGATAAGGGAGAGATGATGAAGCCCATGTGTCAACCTGCTGACTAGCGAAGGATACGGGAAGGGAATCAAAGTATATGTCACCTCTCCCAAGAGAGAGGTTGACACGTGAAGACTGGAAACAGTGGCATCATTTGGACTGACTCAGCACAAATTTCAGTAATTCCCCCCGTGATGTAGCACCACATTTATACCTATATCGCTCCCCTATCCTCAGCTGCCACATCCCAATCTCTGTTGCCTGTAAATGTGGGAGCTGGCTTGGGTGTCAGTCCCTTGCACCACGGGAGACACTGTAAATATCAACAGAACACAATCTCTAGGAGGACACACGAGAAAACCCACAAACAGATACTTTAGCTAAGGACAATTTCTGCACCATAGTGACTCTGTGGGTGTTCAGATTGTAGGGCACCCACTTTCACTCCCCTTTCATCACAGTTTCCTTATATGAGATGTTAGGCTCAACAAGAAAGGCAGCTAGAGACCGAAGGAAGGGCCTCTGCATAAAGACCATGGGCAAACCATGACCAGCAAACATGCGACACAGGGGCCTTAGTTCCTATAGTAGCACCAGTCCAAGAAGAAATGATAGCAGCTTACAGAACAGGTAACAGGTGCATGACAATGCATGACTAACATAAGCAAAGTTACAGTAGGTGAGTAAGCCCAATATAGCAGTAGCTCAAGGAGCGTCAAGTCCTTTTGCAAAGTCCATGATCTTCAGGGATCTGGCTAACACTTCCTGTGCATCTCTCAAACATCTGTGTATGGATCAAGGCAAGTCTGTGGAGGCATTTCCTCACCATCTCTGGGTTCCAGGTCACTTTTGTAGACTTTCTACATAATGCTGCTAAGTCTTGCTAGTGATAAGATTTTGTGTAATTTAGTAAATATGACACAATCTAATCAGATTGGTCTTTCCATAATTAGCTCATGTGATGATGAAAACTCA